ATGATTGGCCATTTGCGTGTCCAATCAGGACTCGTAACACCGGTCGCGCTTTTCTGATAATCTAGGACTCTAACTACTTCTAAGTGACTCACTTCTACACTTGATACACTAACACAATTAGATGTGACACATGTACATATATGAATTTCAATATGGCGACGAAATGTTGCAAGTTATTCTGTTCAGCAAACCTGGCAGTACACGGAACATTTTTTGTGCCACTTCCAATCTATGGAGTTACGTCTCCTTATTCATACTTCATGATTCGATCCTGGATTTAACATGGTGGATGCTCACGTGATCTGGAAAAGGAGATCAAAGGCGCCGACACGAAGTGGACCTACTGGTTATACTGTGCACATGATGTATAAAGCCCGTATCAGACTAAAGATTGAGATTAAGATTGGAATGGAATTTGACCAATCAAAACAAAGTTCATTAAATTTGAGATTGATTTTTTTTTCTTCTAATTAGTTAAATTCCAATTCAATCTCTTTAGTCTGATACGGGCTTGTGGTATCCTTGTTGTTCACCAAATGTTAAACAAGAATAAAAAGATTAATCTTGCGCATGATGCGCTTTGCGGAACGCAGCCCCAGTTGTGATCCAATCAGTTTCGAACTAGCTTGACGTTGTTTGGATCGCGATGTTTGCAACACTGCAATGCGACTCATAGCTTTGTTGTCTGCTGAGAAAGAGAATCTCGAAACCTTGCTCTGACTTTCTTTTTTTATGGTGAATAATAAATACAAATTATTGTGCGATTCTTATAGTAAATTGTTTTCTAATTGAGTGAGCGATTTATATTATATTTTAGTAAATTGTGTAACTGTTCCATTATATAAATCGTCATGGCTACTTCAGTTACCACAAATCCGTCTACGTTATTGCCTTTAGGTAAAAGAATTTATTCATGTTCTAAATTATGCCAGTAATGTTTTACTGAATTTTTGCAATTTAATATCAGTAAATTATATATATATATATATATATATATATATATATACACATTATATATATTATATTATTATTTGTAGAACTAGTTGACAAGTGTATCGGTTCTCGAATACACATAATTATGAAAAATGATAAAGAGATTGTAGGAACTTTGCAAGGTTTTGACGATTTCGTGAATATGTTGCTGGAAGATGTAACAGAAAGTGAAGCAACCCCGGAAGGTCGCAGAGTTACGAAGTTGGATCAAATTCTTCTTAATGGCAGCAACATTACTATGGTTATTATCATGAATATTGATGATATTTAATACTCAATAATTTTGAGCCTAGTATTTCTAGTAGATTATAATTTCTGATATGATCGAGATGGAAAGCAAAACTCAAAATTTTAATTTATTTATTCTGTTACAGTTGGTGCCGGGTGGCGAGATGCCAGATACATAAGAATTTTGGGCCATTGTCCTGAGCGCAATGGAAAATTTATTTGTATCCTTACAAGATTATGGCCATGCACTGAACTAGTTACTTATCGCAAGTAAGATTCTATATAAGCTTAAGCTCAATTTTTGAAATAAACTATCGATTACAAAAGATCAAGTCTACTGATTATTTCATTGAGCGGGGGTCTGTCTATGATATCCTGTGACCATGCAGCTCTGAATAGTTCCTTATATCTTCCACTGAACTCATCGTCCAGAATTTCATCTTCAGGACGCGTTCCTTTTACAGAAATATATATGATGGTATGGATATGTAATCCATGGAATGGGACTTCTCGAGACAACATTTGCCAGGCTACTATTCCTAAGGAATAAATATCAGCGGCAAATGTAGGTACATCTCCTCGAAGCATTTCTGGTGCTGCATAGCCTGGTGTACCCTGATAAAGGGATCAATTTTTTATGTGAAAAAACAAAATCATCACACATACATTACATGTGAATAAGTCTTTATAATTATGTATATATGTATAAAAAAATATTAAAACTATGCCTGTGTTGCAACATTCACTACCAATGCTGAAAATCTACAGTGTGCGTATCGTAAACTATAGATTTTCAGCGCTGATAATTTTAAATACAACCCATATTGCACGTATCTGCAATTTTATTAAGAAATTCATTAAAGTTTTTAAGTAAAGATTCAATTTTATATATAATATTATATATGCGTACTCGCGGCCTGATCGAAATGTGCGATTCGTCGACTAGTATAGAACTACCGAAATCGGTGAGTTTGGCTTGACCGTTAGCTGCCATCAGGATATTAGTTGCTTTGACGTCTGCGTGTATCACGCCAGAATCGTGGCAGAATTGAAGTGCGCCAGCGATGTTTCTCCAAATAGAAATGCGCTCCTCTTTCGATAATACCGACTCCTGCAGCCTGTCCTGCAATGACATTCCACATAGTTCCATTGTTATCAGCGATAAGCTACTGCCCTGTTCTATGTTCAATATTTTCACAATGTTGGCGTGTCGCAGAATAGTCGCATGTTTCTCTGAGTTTATTACTTCATCATCGTTTTGTTTGCGTGGAATTATCTTGGCTGCCACTTGGTCTCCTGAGAAACGTACATTAATAAGTAGTATTCTTATCAATTATTCCTGCATACACTTGACAACAAAATTTAGTAAAAAAAATTATAATAAATTACCTTTGTAAAGCACTTTGTAGACGATACCGAAAGCACCCACTCCGAGCACAGAATGATGCTTCCTCGGTAGACCATCCCTGAGTAATCTGACTCTATTAGGAGTATCGATATTGAACGGTGACAAAAGCTTTTCATCTTTTGACCTTTTTTGATAAATGTTATCTGGAGTTTTTGGACTTAGCCGTACTCTAATAAATTATTACCAGTTTATGATCTTAGACGTGCTCTAATAAATTATTATACTTGTTTGTGATCTAATAAATTATATACTTGTTTGTGATCTTTGGTTTAAATAGCATAGGATTTTGGTTACTTTTACCTGATATTCGATATAGCACTTTCCAATGGCCGAGGTGACAGATGCTTTAACGTGGACACGAATCTTTGCGGTGAAGCCATTTAAGTAATGATTACGATACGAATAATAATTTCTACATGTAGAAAAAAACCCGCAGAATTTTTTCAATACTATTTGCATCTAGAAAATAGTGATATTTCCATTATATCGCGTACATAGGAAAACTCGTACTCTCGACGCCCATTAAAATTCTGTTCTCTGTATACAAACACATCAAGGATAATGAAGGAGCGGTAAATACATATGGAGTATTCAGTACGCTCTCAACTTTCAGCAAACGAGAAATATGTCCCTTTTCCCTGGTGAAAAAATTATCATATTTTTAAAAACTTTTCATGTTTTATATTTGTGAAAATTGAAACTTGAAAATTTCTAAACAAATACTTTAAACTTCTTTAGATCTTATAAGTTTTCGTCCGTATATAATTAATGATATATTAATATATTAAATCCATATATAAAATTCATTCATAAAAATCTGAGAAATTTTCTAAAAAGTTATAAAATATAGATTATATAGAAATTCTGAGAAATTGTGAATTCTAAGAAAAATTTTCACCAGGACATATCGAGATTTCAATTATAAAATAATTGGTAGTAAGATAAATATCAAATAGAGTACAATTAAAATATGTTTTATTTCTTCGATCACTAGTTTAAGGAGTAAATCAACTACTGAGTCTATTGCTAATTATTATTATTTTTTTAATACTGTACGTTAACTAGATTATGTACAATCATATGATCTTCCCGTAACAATTCGCTTCGATAATCTTTTGTTATGATACAATATCAATGATATAGGAACGCATATGTATGTGCACGCGCGTACATGTGCATCGATAAATGCTTTATGGATCGATTAAACATCTAATTGGAGATTTGCACTATGTAAACTTGTCGCTAACATTAAGTGCTCGGCTGTACCATCTTGTTTTCGAGCGATTCTGTTTGCTATCACAATGGTTAAATATATCGCTTCCACTCTCCCTAGATTTCTCTCTGTCGATTAATTAACAATCGACGAGTTGTAATAAGTAGAAACAACTTTACGGAAGTTTAGTAAAATACTCTAATACGAATAAAAATACAATGTATCTTCTATGTACTGTGTGTATATATATATATATATATATCCTCTATTTGTTCAAAAATAGTTTATTTAGTTAAATATAACTCTCTCTTTTTCTTTTTCACCAGCCTTATTCTTTACTGTAATTCCATACCGCTCTAATTAATCGTCATCAATCACTTGGTCTTGCACGAAACACGCGCGTGAATTACTTCTCTCAGATTTTAAGCTATGAGAATGAATGAAAATCAGATTTTATGTAGTAAGTTACCAATACCTATCTGGTAATATTTACAGGCCATACAAATCAGCAATAGAGAGAAAACATCACAATTCCGATTTTGCGAACTTACGGGTTTTGAATATATCTATTAAAAAGATCTGCGAAACGGAAGATCCGTTCACGGAGTCCAAGGATTTGTAAAATTAAAAAAATCTGTGGATCTGTTTTGTATAGATACAAAAATATGTAAGAACTATATCCCATATTTTTAAGTGCAATCACGACTAAGTACCTGTGCAAATAAGAGAGACACAAGAGTTGTGTGAGTGTTTTTAAGTATCCTTTATCCTTTATGTAATAAGATGCTCAAATTTGTAAGTACTTGTGAATATATGTATATATAAATAGAAATCAGAAATCTCTCTCGACGAATTTATGTAGCATGGTAAAATTTAGTAGATTATTTGGAGGTTTTTAAGTCCAATATTAATATTTGTTAAACGTGGAATGATCGATGGAATAAACAAAAAATCTAAAGAAGTGAGACATTTGTATATCCACGATTCACAATGTATGATCCACGAAACACTTATTGATTTAAAGATTTACACATGTAGAGGCACAATTGTGAAGAAGAGGAAGAAGTAAAACTTCGAAACTTATATATCGCGTAGTATAGGACCTAAAAATTTGGAATATACAAACATTCGCAAACTCTATCATGTATCTTTGAAGAAATCAAGAATCAAGGCAATTATGTGTTCCCTTGTACATTTGTATAGAGGGAATAAACAAAATAATGTGAACACCTGGGAAATACACTACTTGTTTTGTTAATAAGAGATTGGCCCGTTAATACAGATCCTATATTAATACCGATTCTTGGACTAGAGCCATACAATGCTTGAATAATCATCAACGGGATGTTGTACTATTCTTTTATCAGAATCTTTCATTTGCTTATATAAGTAATAGTAGCGGAGAGAATTTGTTTCTCTATTTTCTAAAATTGTCTCTATATTTTCCAAAACTTCGTGACCGATGCAATTGCTTGATTTAACTATAATTAAATTATTGTGAGCAGTTTGGAAGAGCAGAGTGAGAAGCAGAATTCCTTTTTTAGTATTTTTTAAACAATGACTCCGTTCCAACAAGAATATGTATAAAAGACAAATGTTGTGGGTGAATCTTTTATTTATAAGTAGTGTGTACTTCCCAGGTGTTCACATTAGATCTGTTCGTGTTGCTTGGATTTTTTGCATTCAAAATCTTCGCTTTTTGCTATCTCCAACATACGAATATATATATATATATATATATTTGTGTTTCAAGTACACAAATTTTTGAGAACTTCAAGTAACACGAACTATTAAATCTATTATTTTGTTTGTCCTTGTATATTTATTATTCGTTTGCTACAACTACGACACAACTAAGAAAAAAAAGTTTTCCGGAAAATAAGTTTAAATGTTTATTAAAATTTTAAAATTATTAAATGATTAAAATTTTCTAATATTAATTTAAAAATGCAATTTTGGCGTAATAACTGATCATAGAGGAATAAAAGTATATTCTTTTAAAGTATGTTTTTTACTTTTTTTCCTTACATTTCCGTTTCTTTTGCAAACAATTAAAAAATAACAATTTTTGAGTTGCAGCTGTATGCCGTTGTAGCAAATGAACGATACATGTATAGCCAAAAGAGAAGGGAAGAAGGAACAAACTGTGAAAATATTATCTCTCGGTAATCATCACTAGCCAAACATCCTCATAACATTTCGATTTGGCACTATCCTTACGTGTGCCATTCTCCTTATAAAATACTTCTCCTGAGCATTGCATCATCAAGCGCAAATATCAGGCACTCAGAGGCACCGGATTTCGACTTAATTTCAAAAACGTCCATTAGGCATACATGAGTAATTCAATCATTTCGAAATATACGGTCAAGCTGTTTACATAGTTTTATGAGAAAAAAACAACTGAAATGTATAGGTAGATGTAGTATTAGTAATTATCAATAAAAGTAAGTATTAATGCGTCTGAAGACTCGATTATGAAATAAAAATTTTATAATTAAATACAGAAGAATAAAAAATTTGTGCAAATGAGATCTAAAATGACTTAATAATTCTATCTGAATTATATACCTATATATATATATATATATATATATATATATATATATATGCATGTTTTGTATCTCTACTTGAATTATATGACACTGTTTATCAACTCCCTATCAATGGACGTATATATTTCAATTTGATAAATAGAAACTCTGTATTTGCAAATTAGCGCTAGATAAAGACTTTGAGAGACCCTGATGTGAAACAGGTATATAAGTAGATAATTTTGGAAGGTACATGAATTTAGAGAGAAAAGAAACAGAGAAAAATACTCAGTGATATCGAGTAATCGATTAAGGCACAATCTAACCAGGTAGAGGAGCCTCCTCGTAAAAATCCAACTCGTCCTCGACTTCGTGCTCGGATCCCTTACTGTCGAGGGCGCGTAGCTCCGCGGTGGTAAAGAAATGGCTCATCTGAGCACGCAACGGTATCATCAGAATAAGGAAGAAGGGTAGGGCCAAAGCGGCTCTGGTACTCTTGACGATCCACAACACAGCTAGGCACAAGATCTGTATGAGGGTGAAGATGTGCATCTTGTAAGTTTGCACGCGGCGCACGTAGTTTGCCGTGCCATGGTGCTTGACCGGCATGAAAAAAAGCTTGACGCGGTCAAACAGTTGCACGCCGTTCGTCGACGAGATGCCCATGTAGAGGAACACACCAAGAAGGACGGACATCGGTACCCGCCGCAACAGTGGTGCCATCAACACACTCACGCCCATAAGTATCGCAACCAGGAGAGCGCTCACCCGTTGCTCCTTCACTTCGACGATGTGCGGTTTGTCACCGGGCGCATGAGTGCGTGACATCACAGTTACAGCGGATACGTGAGTAAGAGAGCGCACCGATGCGGCGGAACACCAGGGTGCACCCATCAGGCCACATCCTACATTCATCAAGCAGACCATTACGATGTCCATGTGATAACCATTGCCCTTTCGCAGTTTACGCTCTTTTTTATCGATGATTAATCTGCAAAACGAATGGTGCAGTTAATAAAAAACACGAACATCTTTGAGCAATTAAGCAAACAATTTAATTAAATTTACTTACTCTGATATTTGAGTCTCCATAAATACTAGTATGTAAACCAGCAAAGCTGGCACTACGCAAGCTAAAGCCATCCAAAGCGGTATTGGTTTTTCGAATCCGGCGGGAGACACGAACCAATTTCTATCAGGTATAGTTGGGGAGAGTCCTTCGGGAACCAGCAACTTCTCCGTTTTTACCATAAAAAGATAGTCGATTAGAACAAAGACGATGATGCTAATAGGCACGCCGAAGTCTCCGAAAGCTCTTCGAGCACTACGGCCTAAGTAATGGCTGTTACGGAAGATCCTCAAGTAATAGGCGCCCAGAAAGGTACCCAGGCAAAGGATAGTGCACATCAAAGCTGTATTGGGCTGATTGATCGGTAGCCCCGTTGCGTCGTGGCTCGGTATCAGTTCACAAACGTTTTCCAAGCGCAGGATTTCCTCAGTTTCGTTCCACGGCGATCTGGTGACCTTCATTTCAGTAACGTAGAGCGGATAGGCTGTATTGTTGGTGTCCGGATCAAAGCTGTACTCGTGAAGAAGAGGATTGCGCACAAAGTAATTGTAAAGCTTGATGAATGTTTCAACGATATAAAGGATAGAAATCAACCCAGTAAAGATCTCTTCGGTGAAGCGTGTGAAGAGTCGCACGAGGACCGAACCTTCGACACAGGCGATCGCCAGGGCGATGATACCCATCCAGGCGCCAACATATACTCGTACAGTAAGAAATTCAAGCTCGTTCGCCAAACAAAAGTTGTATAAGCTCTCATCAAAGAGTAATAGCGGACCAGTCGTGCCAATGATCACCAGCGGTTGAGTGGCAAATAGTGCCATCAACACACCCGTCCACGAACTAGAGACCAGAGTTTCGGATATGCCTATTACATTCTGCGTCTTGTCGCTCATCAGGCCGCCGAAGGTGATGGCAGCGCACAGTGCGGCAAAGTACATGAAGATGGCTGCTGCGAAGCAGGACGAGCTCAGACCATCCGTAAAATCGGATAAATAAAAGGAATAGCGACGTTTAATGTCGTTGATGAGGCCACCGAATGGTCGTTTGGTACGTCGCAACGGATCATCATCATCCTCCGGTGGTTTCTTCTCTTCTTCCCCGGCGAGAAGAGCTGTTACATTAAAGATGAAAGGATAAGATCAATAAATTTCAAGAACTGAAAAACAAATGTTTAATTATCGAGATATTTATCAAGTTTTAAAATATTTAAAAAAATTACCCTTTTTTACGGCCGCCTCACTTTGCTCCGGTTTGCTCTTCTCCTCGAGCGCCTTCGCTTTTCGTTTTCTGATAGCCTCGCTCTTCGCCTTAAGCTCGCCGAACGGTAACAAAGCCTGTCTCTCCCAGTCGCCGGGTGGCAGTACAATTGAATCGTCTAGGAACTCGTTAATTGCCGAGAGCAATTCTCGCCTCTCGTTGGCCTTATAAGCGATTTTATGGAACGACGTATTCGCCATCAGAGTGGAGATGGACCGACCGATCTCGTGATAGTCCAAGTCTGCGTTTCTCGGTCCCAATAGAGTAAACATGAATCTGACTGGTATCGTGATCTCCGTAATAGACGGCATAAATACACCTTCGGCCAATCGTACGAAAGCTATCGTCGGCTGATCCAAAAAGTCGACGGCGCCGACAAGTACGACTGTTGCCTCAGCACCGGCTGGAATTCTTTTGAGGATATAGTCGTTGTGGCTCTTCTTCAAATCCTCATTACTGCTCATGTAAGTTAGCTCCTCCTTGATATCGACCACCGTATGATTGTCGAGCGCCAGATTCGACAATACGATCTTCGGCTTCGCGTCGTGTAGATTCTGTCGGATATTTCGAAACTTTTATAGAACAATCTGAGAACTTTTCAATTCCATCGAAAAAAACTATATAGATCTTCGATAAGAAAAATCAATCAGCTGTTTCTCAATATCTTGAAACCAGAACAACCTATGTCGTTGAGTGATTGGAATTAAGCAAACGAATGAACCAAGTCTATTAACTGATACAAAGATTATACAAACAATAAAAATAATAACTTATTTACGAACATAACTTACTTCTCATAAAAATATGAAAAACGTACAGAACTGTTTTAACTTGTAAAATGAGACATCTGTTTATCTAATTTCATGATATTGTTTAATTTACGAAAATAATGCTTAAAATAATATTATAATAATAAGTAATAATAATGAATTCTCTACAAAAAGGCAATGATTGATTTTTAAATTTATTTAGAATTAAGCAGAATAAGAATATACTATAATAGAAGAGTGTGATTGCTCAAGTATTTTATGATTATGAAAAATATGAAGCGAAGTGAATATCTCGCAATAAGAAGGCTACGTTTGTAATAGAAATAATTGTAATTATTGTAATTAAAATTATAATAATTGTAATTAAAAAGTGAGAAAATTATCATAGCGTATTCATAGATGCACTTGCAAGATAATACACGAAAATACTATAAATAGAGATATTATTAATTCTTTTAAGTTTCAAACAAAGTTTATCCGCACAATTGCGAAAGTCACGTCATATCTTCATGATTTGCTCCGCGATAATTAAAGAAAATTGGGCAAAAAATAATAACAAACTGTAAAGAAAAAAATGTAAGGAAGAGAAGCGCAGCATACGATTACAAGTCGTTAACGATCGACAAACGGTACTGTATGAATATTTCTAGAGTCAATTTAACCCAGGTGGTTCAAGTCGTGCTAAAAAAGGCACTGCGTGGAGACGCAACACAATGGAAAAACTGCAAGCTGTGGGAACGAGCTGCGGTTGTTTTATTTAGACTACGGACTAAAATTGCGGTATTTATTTATTATGGAAGTAACTGAAGGATAATTGATTATCCTTAAGCTTTTTAACGTTGAAACTAGTTTCGACGTTAAAATCAAAAGAGAGCCAATACACGTATAATGTGCTTTTAACGCGCATACGATTGCATTGGCTTCAAAACTACATTAATGTGTTCAAAATTATATTTTAAAAAATGCGATGCTTACGGATTTGATTAATAACAGGTTTTACAAAATAAATGAGTAGCTGTCTAGACTCATTGTATGCATTATCAAACACATCAAATGTAACTAACGCAACATAAGTATATGTATATAAATCGCACTTAAATTAAATTCTTTATTAAAAAATTTAGTTCGCTCACCAGCGAGTAGTACGCGGTACCTACTGTCGTTAGATGGACACAGCAAAGTTCTACTTTTTATAAATAAAAATACAAGACAGAATAAAAGCTACAACATTATGAAATCTTTCATCTATGTTCTCATGAAACGATTTTTTGAGTCCCTAAAATGGAATTCCATGATGAGAAAAGTTTTAAATATTTAGGTATCTACATATTACGATTGAAATTTAGCTGCCACACACAGATTCTTGTTGCTGCAACTATAATCTTTTCTTTTCCGAGAATTAAATGTAAATTTAATGCGAGACAAATATAAGTTTTAAATGTGTATTTACCATCTGCTTTTAACACGGATTTAAATGTACATTATACACGTATTGGCACTCCTCGTAAAATTTTAAAGACTAAACTATGCAATTGAAATAGACCTTAAGCTAAGCTACGTTATTAATGACTATTCTAATCAATATTCTATATTATTATATGTCTACCCATTTATTAAAATTAACAATAATTTAGTGACAAACTTTAACAAATGTTAACTTTGTATTAATGATGTCAATATTAAGCACATAAAACATACATAATATTAATATCAGATTAAGGATATTTGAAATATTGACTTAATAAATTGTTGATTTATGACCGATTTATCGATATAATCGGTAAAAGGAAAATTTTACAAAATGGCCATGTATACTCATTGTAACCCGTAAATCCATGCCAAATTTACTTTAAAAAGTACATAAAAATTCATATGAAAAGTGTGAGCGAACAGTGTGAAGGACTAGAGTAATAGAAGTGAAAAAAACTGCGTTTGATTCGGGAAACGAGAGATTTACATGTTGAGTTACATGGTTCTCAGCGCCTTCCCGCGCAGCATCTTCTTCCTCCAGCCAGATGGACTGTGGAAATAATATTAGCACTGTCAGTTAAAACCTATTCCCTGCTACCACCCGTTACGACTACTCACTACTGATCGCGTTTGATACATTTGCCCTCGCAGGTGATCTTCGACATTTCCATAAACTGCAGCATCTTCATATAAAATTGCTTTAATTTCACGTCTCAACGCGAACACGATAAAATATCAACGCTATACACGATAAATCAGCATTCACATTACAGTCATGATTATTTTCCGTTTTTGATCATGAGATTCGAAACATGCAAACTGCATTGAAAACCAGGGTTTGCATCAGTTTGTGGAGCTAGAATTGAGACGGAATTCATCGAATCTAATTTATATAGCAACCCTGAAGCCCGTAAACACGGTTACCTGTTGAGCAATCAATTATCACGATTCTCCATCTTTCATCGGCGGTGCTTATTTTCGACACAAGCAACCTCGAAGCGAGTTTTGCGAATCTTAACCAAGAGTCGGTCGTTTTCATGCGCACGATGCACGTTACGCAAAGGATATTGTCATTACGGACGAATTACCTGAAGGCTGGTGTAACTGGAGTAGCTTCTTTTGCCACCAAAACGGAAACCACGTTCGTGCTCGTGCACGTGCCTGTGTCTGAGCAGGAGCGCTCTCATCACGACTGGTCTGTCTTGAGGCAGGATAAGCTCCTCGATGACCATCTGCTCGACTACCCTGTAAGCCAGCCCAGGCAGATCCTTTTCCTCTAGATCTAGGAGAACCACACCGGTTTCTAAGCAACGACGAAGATTCAGCAATGAATGGAAGCTAAGGGAAGCCACGTGAGGTCTGCCCCATCTGTCAGCACCCTCCTCAACATCCTCCTCATATTTAATCCATCTAGCGGTCTCTCGCCATTCGCGCTCCTCGCCCAGGCCATGTAGCTCGTCCAATTGAACGAATACCTCGTGCGGCGAGTGATCGTACATCTTTTTGAAGGTGTCATGGGGAATGCCGCCCTCCTTCCGTCGGCCAATCTGTATCGTTAAATGAGCGGCCTTGTGCCGGCGCATGCCACGCGGATCGTCACTACGATGCGACTCCAGATCATCGATGTCGAGTTCCTGCAAAGTGCTCGCTTCTTCCGGCTGGACGCTGACACGTCGGGCCAGCAAGCTCGAACTGTCTGGAAAACCGGCTCCTGATCGTTTTCGCCATTGCGGATCCTCCTGCAGAGAGTATTTGCGAGATTTGTGGTGGTGACGTCTGGAAGAGTAGTCGATAATGGGACAGTTAGTTAAATTTTTTGTAAGCAAATAAAATTTAATTTTTTATAGAGAAAGTAAAAGAGGCTCCACAATCGTGATTTAATTATGATATAAATTTAAAAAAAGAGTTTATCAATTAATCGTACAAACATGGATATAAGTTGAAATTTGCCAATCTTGTGAAGATAATCAAGATAACATACGCACAAACTTACTTCAGACTGGCTTCAGATTGGCCTTAATCTTATTATAATACTTCTGTCTCATAACGTGCCATATATAAAGATAATTTATAAGGTATTTATTCAGAAAATTCTTATTTGAAAAGAATTAAGAAATCTGAACCATAAATCTAAATAAAGTCAATGCTTAATTAAGTCACTGACACATACATTTTTCAGCACACCCCATCCTATAAATCTTAAACCGACTATCCGACTTGGTACCGCTCCGTACCGGAATTGTCACGCTGTAAATCTAGCTCATCGCTCGGGATGGTACGAAATAAAGGTCGGTCTTTTCGTGCTCATAATTGCGCGGTTCATACAGCGCAAATATGAGTCCACAGAAATTGTGACACGAAATACCTGACCCCGTCGGATTTAAACTTTCGCTCTTAAAATATCGAGGATGATTCGGATTCGTGCACGTAATATATGCAGACACGATATTCAAATTAGAGTTACTTTGACCCGTATTCTTATCAAAGATATGTTGTTTTACTAATCGGAAAAAAATACATTCTTATTTAACACTAAATGTGTTAATTAAATCGCGTGATCTTTCCTTCTTTCTTATCTCCGTCGCTCTTTACAAGCCCAATCATGTCCAGTCAACTTACTTATGTTCGTGTTTCTGGTGCCGTCGGCGATTCCGATCTTCCTCATGGCCGCTCGGTATGGTATCCGTTGGCACTTCCGGTGTTTGCGTGCTCGATGCATCTTCCTCCTTGATCTTCTCAAATTGTACCCTCGGACTGCCGATGATTGGACTGTCGCTGAAACCGGAAGCTGCTCTCTCCGAGATCGGCGCTTCGCTTTCGCTGCTGCCTACATTTACAGTCTCCTCCACAATTCCCTCATCATCTTCAGCCTCTGCTGTGACGGCCAATCGCAATCCATTACGGTTTATCCCATCGACCTCCTGGACTTCGTTACTCCTTGCTTGTACATTGCCATGATCCTCCTCAGTGAATACTTCCGCCGCCGATCCTTCACTAAAGATATTAATTCTTAATTAAATTCACTAAAGATATAAGATTGAATTTCATTCACTCGAAACTTGAGGAATTTTGCAAAGTTGTCTCTTAGAGCTATTAGAAGCTAAACACTTATTAGTTTCAAGGTTCGTCAAGAATATTAAATCAACCGCGTGCATGAAAATCGATCATCCGATATATGCATTTGATACGCAAAAGATATTGCTCTCTCGAACGATGATTCGCATAAGATTTCGAGTCGACAAGGAGAAAGCCGAAGATTTTGCCAAATGTCTACTTTTATTGAGTTAACTTACGGTGAAAGGTGTCGTCGCATAGACCTGGAATGCAAGCTCTTCAAGGGCATGTGCGGATGCGGGTAGCTTCTTTTACGGTATTCTGAAGAACGTCATTTTTATTATTTTCTCTACGAGACGACGTCAAAAATAAACAAAAAAAAAAACCATAATATGACTTACGATTGAAATCGCGATCGCCGCCATATCGTGGGGGTGGCCCGCGATCGCGATCTCGATCAGATCCAACCGATTCTGAGGGCGATCCAAGCCGGGCTACGTCGAACTTTTCTCCGGCGTCCATCGCAAAAACCTTTTCCATCTCCTCGTCGAGCTCCGGTCCCGTTTCCGCGGCATGCCCGTCGATCTGATATAACAAATAAAGATATACGTTAATATTTGTTGCTGCTGCGTTAAAGGGAGAGGGAAGATTTGTATGATTAAATTGAAGGCAAAATTTGCGAAAATTTTATTTCAAGAAAAGGAATAAATGGATATCGTTTAAGTGTTACCCCCCTTAGAAAGCATGTCTAATAATGAGGCAAAAAATATTCTTGACATACTTAATCTCATCGCAAACTTGCAGTATAAAAATAAAACAGTATTGAGATAAGTTCAATAATTCTTATTCTCTTGCTTGAAATTAAATAAAATTAATTTATTTAAACAGCCATAACTTGATGAAAAAAAATCGTACGGTCATGAGCCAAAGTTTGTTTGAAAGCTCTTGAATGATACTTTCAGATGCCATTGGGTTTATTCAGAAATCAGTTTCTGTTTTGCCACAAAAAAATATTAAAAGTGACCAAATAATTTTGTTGCCTTTTATTCTAATTTACTCAAAATCCTGATGTGCAAGGCGAATACTTCAAATGGCATCATATTCAACGCGAAAAAAACCTTCGGGAAACATGGTTACACTTCGGAAAAAATTTCGCTGTAAACATAGTGTTATATTTAAGGTAATTGCAACCATTTTGTTCTCTGAGAGAAGAATCCTTTTTAGGACATTTTAGGTATGCAAGAGATAGATAAGTGCAGTAATCGCCCTAGGTCACTCTGCCTATGTAATTCAGAAAGAAATCGATACAGATATCTGGCACTTATAAGGGTAAGTTGCTGGTTGTGTTCAGGAAGAAATCGATATCTGTATTTTAGAAGACTGAGATAATGTCATTAGGATATTGATGATAAAATGTTTTAATTATGCAGTATACTTTGATTCTCCTACTCTTCATATATACAATAGCAAGTAAAACGATCTTATTTTGTCCATATAATTGTTATTCACATTATTCATCAGTATAATAAATTTTATATATTTTTATGATACGTTAGCACTATATCAGAAATATTTTAAAGTAATTTTCATGATATAATAATACTTTTCTATTGATTTAAATTTCTCTATAGACATAAACAAAAAAAAGTTAGTAAAATATATGATTTTCGAGAAAATCAGTTTCTATAATTATTTTTTTTATTCAAAAATGCGGCACGCAGTTTGTGTGTGGCTGAATATATTGTAACAATAAAAATTATTACACACCAACATCCGTGTCGGCTCGCATAGGCACTATTTAGTTATTTCTGATTTATTCATAGGTTCTTAGTTGCTTTAATTTAAATTTATTCTTATTTTTTTTAATTTGTCTTTCATAATTTAATCTTAATGTGCGTATATTGTATATTTTTAAATAATATGTAAAAAACGGCATCTTTACTAGAAAAAAATAAGTTATAATAAAAAAATTCAAACCGCGTATTTATTTTGCTTGCTGCTGCTATACATCTGTATAACAATACATTTATATAACAATACACGTAAAAAATATGCAAAAATATTTCAGGAAAAAAACATTCTTTGTAAAAAAAGAAAAGCAAACTCGTTAATATTATATATTAAATGAATGAGCAAACTAAGTTTAGATACTACTAAAAAGGTAGTTTTTATTTGTCTATATGAAATTTCTTAACAACAATGATAATAACAAATAATATCGCGGGAGAATCCTAAAAAGATTCTTTATTAGTCAAATCTGGTAATTAAGAGGATGCTGAAAGGTCGGCCAAATTTGTACGAAGTCGATAAAGCAGACTCTTCAGTGTCAGTGGTATCTCTAAATGAACTTCTTACAATATCTTCTGTCTCGCTCAAACACGTGGAATGTCCTTATCTAACTTATTGAAGTGCCATCTCTTGGAAAATCCGGCACTACTACCAACGTAATTTTTGCTGTCTTTACCTCGGCGAGCGTACGAATTACCACAAATTGCAT